AGAAGTAGTAGTTAAATCCAATTTAACTACATACCCAAGACTAAAAGAACTAAACTACAGGACTGAAGAAAAAAAGTGGTATTTAACTACGTATCACGAGACTGAAAGAACTCAACTACAGGACCAAAGAAAAGAAGTGGTAGTTAAATCCAATTTAACTACATACCCAAGACCAAAAGAACTACAGAACTGAAGAAAAAAAGTGGTAGTTAAATTCAATTTAACTACATACCATGAGACCAAAAAACGAAAGAACTAAACTACAGGGCTAAAGAAAAGAAGTGGTAGTTAAATTGGCACTTCTTTTTTTCGGTCCTGTAGTTTAGTTCTTTTGGTCTTGGGTATGTAGTTAAATTGGATTTAACTACCACTTCTTTTCTTTGGCCCTGTAGTTTAGTTCTTTTGTTTTTTGGTCTCGTGGTATATAGTTAAATTGGATTTAACTACCACTTTTTTTTTTCAGTTCTGTAGTTCTTTCGGTCTTGGGTATGTAGTTAAATTGGATTTAACTACCATTTCTTTTCTTTGGTTCTGTAGTTGAGTTCTTTTGGTCTCGTAGTACGTAGTTAAATTGGATTTAACTACCACTTTTTTCTTTGGTCCTGTAGTTTAGTTTTTTCGGTCTTGGGTATGTAGTTAAATTGGATTTAACTGCCACTTCTTTTCTTCGGTCCTGTAGTTGAGTTCTTTCGATTCTGTGGTACGTAGTTAAATTGGCACTTCTTTTCTTTGGTCCTGTAGTTTAGTTCTTTCAGTCTTAGGTATATAGTTAAATTGGATTTAACTACCACTTCTTTTCTTCGGCCCTGTAATTTAGTTATTTCGTTTTTTGGTCTTGTGGTACATAGTTAAATTGGATTTAACTACCACTTTTTTTCTTCGGTTCTGTAGTTCTTTTAGTCTTGGGTATGTAGTTAAATTGGATTTAACTACCACTTCTTTTCTTTGGTCCTGTAGTTAAGTTCTTTCTTTTTTTGGTCTTATGGCATGTAGTTAAATTGGATTTAACTACCACTTCTTTCTTCGGTTCTGTAGTTTAGTTCTTTCGGTCTCGTGGTACATAGTTAAATTGGATTTAACTACCACTTTTTTCTTCGGTCCTGTAGTTTAGTTCTTTCATTTTTTGGTCTTGCGATACATAGTTAAATTGGATTTAACTACCCCTTCTTTTTTTCGGTCTTGTAGTTGAGTTCTTTTGGTCTTGTAGTACGTAGTTAAACTACCACTTCTTTTCTTCAGTCTTGTAGTTGAGTTTTTTCGGTCTTGCGATATGTAGTTAAATTGGATTTAACTACCACTTCTTTTCTTCGGTCTTGTAGTTGAGTTTTTTTGGTCTCGTGATATGTAGTTAAATTGGATTTAACTACCACTTCTTTTCTTCGGTTCTGAAGTTGAGTTCTTTCGTTTTTTGGTTTCATAGTACGTAGTTAAATTGGATTTAACTACCACTTCTTTTCTTCGGTCCTGTAGTTTAGTTCTTTCAGTCTTGTGTATATTGTTAATTTGTATTTAACTACTACTTTTCTTCTGGTTCTGTAGTTGTGTTTTTTGTTTGGTCTTGCTATATATTGTAGTTAAATTGTTTTTAATTAAATAAAATAAAAAATAAATATTTACAGTGTGTATAGCATATAGTGTAAATTGATATAGTTAGTAGCTCTTACAAAAACTTTCCCTTGTGATCATGTGATTCCGATCTGGATCGGAGAGGCCATTTTCACATGACCCAGAAAAATCTCACCTACATCCTGGTGCTGTTGCACCGCTTGATCATGCTCCTGCCTGTATATATCACGATTCCATCGTTCGTTTACCAGATCTTGTTGCAAGTTAGCATATTTATGTCAGATTGATCTTGTTGATCTTTTAATTTGATTTTTTAAAATAGTTCTACATATTGTTGTATCATCTAGAGATCGGTCTATTGCATCTGCCAATTCAGCTATTGTGGCCATATCTAAATTTTGATCAAAATTATAAATATCTAAAGAATTTTCATCGAGGTTGGATTTGTTTTCATTATTCCATGCTTGTGCATTTTGCAAAGCCTCTCTGGTGTTTATAAGTTCTAATCTATCTTGGTATCTTAATAATGCAAAATTTTGACAAAGCAGATCTGTAATACGATTTTTTGCTGATTTATTTTATTAATCCTATTTATTTGATTAACCCTTATTGTATTTATTTCTCGCTTAAAGCGTTCGTTTTCGTCTACTAATCTGGTTGTATAATCTTGTGCTTTAGGTGTATTTCTAGCTGATTTAGATATTCTCGTATTCAGGTTTTTAATTTTGTCTCTCGTTCATCAAACTCTGTTATTAATTTATCCTTATTAGTGATTTCTTTGTCTTTCTTTTTATTTTCTTCTTCGAGTTGGTGGACAATTCTTTTGAGTTTTGAGATTTCTTCTAATAATTCTTCTTTGTCTTGTCTAGAAAGCTCAATAGCGTTATTTAACTCTTCTTCAAGATATCGTATCCTTTTTTTGTATATACCTATAACTTTTTCCAAGGTTGTTCGAAATTTCTATTTGATTCAGCTAATTGTGATACCACCTCATAGAGTTCCTGGTTAGATTGTTGTAGCTCCTCCATGTTTTTTATTACTATAATAAAACAAAGGAATGGAGAAATCCATAATTTATATTGACCTACAAAGGGTCTATAATTTGGATAAGGAGATTACTTTGCAAAAAATTTATTATAGGCCTGAAGGTTATTATCAGACAGCTGAAAATATGTGTGATACATGTAGAATGGCTGGTCATAATTTTTCATTAGCTAAGATATGTAATTGGTTAAATAAGCAAGCCATTTTTCAGATTCATAAGCCTCGCCCTAAATTTATTCAATACTTTTCTTTTAATGGAATACAAAATTTAAATGAAGTTCATTAATCCAATACTACGCCTATGCCTCATGATAAAATTGGCAACCGAATTTACAAGCACAGAGGTGTAATAAAAGATGTTGTGACTAGATTTCGATGTAGTTTTGCTTTGACTAATAAATCATCCATGCAAATGGCTAAGGCGATTCAAAAAATTTATAATAATCCAAACTGCCCTCTTACTTATCCTAAAACTTTTATTATAGATAGGAGTACAGAATATATGGGTGAATGTAAGGATTTATTGCTTAGTTATGGTGTAAAAATTCAGTATGCCAACTCTAAATGTGGTACAGCTATAGCTGAACGTGATTATCAAGAATTTGAAAAGCATGCTTATTTTCGGCAAGATGCTATAGATTTTCATTTATCTTTATCTGAAAGGTGCAGAGCATGGGTTAAGAGACTTCATATAAATGATGATATTTTTAATAATACTCCTACTTGCTTAATCGGAATGCCCCCTAATGAAGCTGTAAAAAGAGCATTAAAAGAAGAAAAAATAATAGCCAGATCTTCAGTAAAGCATCGAAGACCTACTGGATATGATGAACCACTTTTACTTAGCTATACTGAAGTTCGTCATCTTTTAGAACCTGGTGAATTAGAAGGTTGGAGAAAAAGAGTAACCGATTACAATTGGTCTCCTGAAGTTTTTTCAATTGATTCTTATTTGATAAAAGAGAATCAACCTGTTCTCTATAAGCTTTACAATAGTTCTAGACGCTCATTTGTGAGAGAAGAACTACAAATCGTCCTGCCAGATTCAGTCTTACCACCCAAATATATTCTCAAGTATTAGACCTTCCACCTCTCTCCTCCACTTGGTATAGAATTTGTTCGAAGGCATCGCTTAAGTAGTCATCTATTTCAGCTCTATTGTAGACTATAATTTGCTTATTTCTAAGCCAATCAGTTTGTGAATTCTTTTTTCCTTGTTTTTCATTTCCAGGTTTATCATCTATAAGAAATTTGGTAAGAGAACATAGAGCGAACTTGAATTGTCCACGCTTGTCAAATTCTTTTTCAAGTATTTCTCTAAACTGTTTTCTTCGGCTTTCTAACATTTTTCGTATATCACTTCCATTATCTGGATAGGATTTGGGAACTTTTGCACGATGTACGGCTATAGCTCTTCTTTTAAATGCCGTGCCTAATTCTTCTTGTTCCCTAAATTCTAGATCTCTTTCTTGTTTATCAGTAATTTCTCCTAAGCGCTCAAATTCTTTATTAATCAAATTCTTAGATTTATTTCTTTTTCTAAATGATTGTGTTTTAGGTCCAGAACCGCCTTCAGAATCTAATATCTTTTCATATTTCTCTAACTCTTTTAATGTTGGTGGGCAAACTGAATCTGGGTTATATTGATCAAGATCATGGCAAAGAGTTATGCATCCATCTAAGGTTTCTGTTGAAATACATTTGCCCAAACCAAGTTCTTCACATCTTCTTCGCAATCTTGCTCCCCATTTCCTGAAGTGCTTACCAGGTTTTTTCACATTTGGATTGACCTAGTTTTTTGCCTCCTCTTCTGTAATGTAGTCGACACCAAGTTCTGGAGCTTCTTTTTCGGGTTCTAGCTCAGGAACTGAAGTTGGGTTTACCACATGTGGCTTCTCCTTGTTGCTCGTATTTACACTAAAGCTTTCTACATGTGCTTTGATTTTGGAAGTTTGGATAGCCTGTTGGGTAGCTTTTTGAATAGGCACCTGAATTGGCGCTTGAATAGAAGCTACTTCCTTCTGCTTTTGTAATGGTTTGTATAGATTTTTTTGCTTAAGATGCTCACGAAGTTTTTGAGGTGTTGAGCATTTATGACCACAACGTTTGCAGATTGTATTTTTTTTATCACTTCTTGTTTTTCTAACCATGGTGTTAGCTCTAACCGTCGCGCTATTACTTGCTTATATAATTTTTTCTTTAATTATTTATTTTCTATATACCTATCACTTTTCGTTCATAGAAACCCTACCAAAGATAATTATTTACAAGCTTTTTGAAGCGGTTCTAGCTATTGCAAAACTGAAGCATTAACTAATTATTAATTAATCTTTTTGATTTTAGTAATAAAAAAGTAGGATGATTGGCGAATATTCTTGCCCATTTCTCTGCAATACCGGAAAGGCTTGTGGGAATAGTAGTACTAGGCCTGAAGGATGTCGATTCCATTGGAAAGCTAAAAAACGGATACCATGTCTGATTGTGAAAAGCCTACATCCTCTGCTTGTGGGCGATGTCCACTACATGTTAGAGGTTATTATGTTACCTAATACTATGATAGACTTTGACAAGAAAGAACTTATGTTAGCTAATTCTATATTAGCCGATTCTATAATAGACTTTGATCAGAAATATAAGAAAGAAGTTATGAGGAAATAATAGATGCCTATAGAAATAAGCTTACAAATCTTAATATTTCTCTTTGCAGGGAATATCTTCTTCCGATAAAACTAGAAGAGGGAGATTATTATGATAGTTGTCAGCCAGAATAGGTAAAGCTAAGATTATTTCAGCTAGCTTTATACCTTTATTCTAGCCAGAATTTTGGGCGTAATATCCAATGGGCATTTGCTAAATTTTCGTTAGACTTGCTTTTTATATTTTTTCGTTAAAGTTTTATGAGGCAGGCAGAATTATTAAATTTATTTATAGAGCAATAAGGACTTAGATTTAGCCATTTTTTAACATGCCTCAAATATTAGATATACTATTAGTGTGCTAGTCTGCGCTAAACCCATTCTTGACTAAGGAAAAGTTAAAACAAAAATCTTGATAGACTTATTTAATAATTATGCTATTTAATGAGCTAGCTTGTATAGAAGCTATTCTTGTTTACAGAAAAATTCGTTAGATTTAATAAATCACGTGATTTTTGATATACTAATTAATAGATAGACCCTTTTAGAAGCAATTATAAAATAGTTAGAGATATTCATAAATCGTTAGACTTATTTATAATATATTAAATCTAACCAAAAATCAATATAGTTTATAGGTTTGAGAGCCTTCCAGAATATATTCCTGATATATTAATAAATCTAACAAAAAATCAATATAGTTTCTAGGCTTTGTGAACCCCAGAAAATATTCCTGTTATATTTGTAAATCGTTAGACTTAATAAATATAACCAAAAATCGATATAGTTTCTGAA